AATGGAGAGATAGCCCTTTTTTGCGGCTCCGTCCACAACGCGAAGCGGGTCGGAAGAGTCAGAGCGAGTTCTGGCAGAGAGCGGGGCATTCCAGGACTTCGTGAGTTCCGTGTGCAGTTCAGGCAGGAAGGGCGCGGCCCGTTTAGTGACGGGAGTCGAGGGCTGGCGGAAGTAGCTGCCGTCCATACGGTTGATGGTCTGCTCGGGGGGAGGGGACCAATCGAGCCCGAGGCGTTCGACGGCCTGTGAGAGGAGGCGCACTAATTCCTCCTCGATTCCAGCGCGGGTCCCAGAGGATTCTCGGGCCGAGGAGGCGTGAGAACCGGACCATTCCTCACTGTCTGAAGTGAGAAGCGAACAGGTTTCCTTGATGTCCGCGGCGTCATCGGAGGCGACAGAGCGGCCACTCGGCGGCAACTGTACGTCCGGAAGCGGCGGAGAAGGAGAGCGGGATGGGATGAACGCTTCCAGCTGGGGTTCCGGCGGCCTCTGAGAGTGGCGTTTCTTCTTCCGCGGCGAAGTCAGAGGCGGCGCGGAAGCAACTTTAGTGGCCTGAAGTCGAGCCCGCAGGGTCGACAACGGCATCTCCTCGCAGGGAACGCAGCCGCCATCGGCGAGGGCGAGCTCGGCGTGCTCCAATCCGAGGCAGAGAGCGCAGATGACGTGGCGGTCTCCAGTCTCGAGGGGAGCGCGGCAAGAACCGCAGGAAGATTTACGATACATCTTTACAAAGACGCTCGGCTCTTTTAGATACAATACAATACAGGAAGCATTTTCGTAAAAAGGATACAAATCCGTCGGATGGCGCTAGCTCGCAGGACGGCTGAAGGTGGCGAAGACGGCCGGCTTCCTCAGTCTCCCAGATGCTCGCTAGAGTTGCCTTTTCGACGACGGCGGCTTCTCTCAGGATCAGCAGATGCGTGTAGCTTCGCTGAAGAGATGAAAATCAGTGTTTACAGCCTGAGAGGCGAATTTATACTCTCTGACCACGCCCGTTTCGGCGGGCTCTGACGCAATGAGAGCATGTCAGACTCTCATTGGCCGAGAGTTCATTCGCGTCTCCTCATAGGCTTAAGCAGTTCTCTGTGAGCGAACCAATGAGCTGCTAGCTAGCCCGCTCATGGTCTGCTGCAGCTGAACTGCGTTGACAATGGATACAAAATTATAGGATAATTTTTTGGCTTCAATTTCTCAGAAAAGATGAATCTTTCCCGTAGCGTAAGCTAGCTTACGCAATACGAGAGAACCTCTCTTAAGAGAACTGCAGAACTCCAACCAAAGAGAGTCTCAAAAACACGGTTTGAAATCGTTGGTGTTTCTGACTTCACAAACTACCTTGTAACCAATCAGGTCAACGTGTGATAGTCAACGAGTGGATCTCTGAGCTAGTGTGAGTGAGTAGAGAAGGTGCTAATTTGCATATTCATAGAATCGCGTATACTAAATGAGGCAAGGGTGTAGAGTTTTCTTTTTTTTTCAAGGAAAAAACATTTAAATAGATATTTTTGTTGATCAAAGATGAGTTTTAAGGGATAAAATTACACAGGGGGACTTTAAAATATCTATTTTGTGTTCAACAGAAGAAATAAACTCACACAGGTTTGGAACACCATGAGAGTGAGTAAATGATGACAGCATTTTCATTTTTGGGTGAACTATCCCTTTCTAAAATTGATAGAGATTATCAATTTTATATTAAACATGGCACTAATTGAAATTAGCATGTGGCAATTATACCTGCCTATGTGGTTGCCACTTTTTGAATATTTGGCTGGTCAGTCAACAAACACCAAAGTGCAGCAGCTGTTGGGTTTTGTTGAATTGCTGAGTTTACCTAGTTGGTGTTAACAGCAATTAAAGCTGCAGTAGGGAGTTTTGAGAAAACGTTGATTTAGCCTGAAAATTTGAACAAGCACAACTTACAGGTCTCACCCCCTTGCTCTCTGCTGCGCTACAGCCCTCCCTCCACAGCGGAGCCTGTCGTGAACGCGCAGGCTAGTAAAGAGGGCCACCCATAACGGCGGATAAAAAGTTATATGGCACATTCACTAATAGGGACTAAACGTCAATAATATGCTTTACATTGACTATGGCCTGCCCATACTTTGACTTCAAACTTGGTCCTCAAATCATTATGTATTTTCCAATAGCCTACATGTAACTTTATAACGTTGCACTCTTTCTATAAGTTATAAATAGCTAGTAAGATAACGTTAATATAACGGTAACTAACGTTACAGTAATTATTCTAGCGATATATAATGCTAGATAAGGTGTGCTAGTACATTATTTCAGCAACATGACAAGCCAGTGAATTAGCAGGTTTCAATTGTTGCTTAGCAGAGTGCGTGACATTTTATCTACATGTTATTATCGTCATCAGTCTTTTTCCATTTACCTCTTTGTTTTATGAGCAGGTGTCACTCGAGAATTGGCAGTCTAGGTTGTTTCTCCGTCATAAGCACAGCTGCAGCACGTTGGCAATCTTGAGTTTGAACCGGTTTGAACGACGGCTCGCGCTCCGGCGCTCGCACTGTGCAAGAGAGGGGTGTGATCAGCGCGTACACGAGCGTGACTGACACTGCTAAGACACTCCTCTCGGCTCTGATTGGTTGTTTCTGACCGGGAGCGTGTATTTCTTGCAAATGGCAATAGGACCACTGGGAGGAGCCAGAGGAGCTTGATTTTTACACAGATTATCTGTCTCATATTCTACTGTCAGGACATAATGACAGTTTTAGCAAATACATGTTTTCAAAAGTTACCTACAGGAGCTTTAACATTAAAACGACACTTTACCAAAATTATAAGTCCTAAAATTATAAATCCAACAGCCAATATTATAAGTTTAAACAGCACTTTTTAATAGGTAGCGTTTGTGTCTGTTATACTATTAACATGTTTCATTCATAGATATTCTTTATAATGTTAACAAGCCTCTAATATTTGTCAGTTAAGTCTCTCAAGTTGCTAAAGTTCATATATGTTAATTCCAAGGGCGTAGGTTTAGGGGGGGACGCTAGGTACTAGTCCCAATCAATATTTTGAGATGACAAATTTGTCCCCACCAATATTTAGCAAGCTCCTTTGAACTGCTATTTTGATATTTGCGCTGCATTTGGATCTTTGCCGATCGATTCCAACGGCGAGGACGACGACAGTAAGATACGCCGTAATTTGATTGGCGGCGGGGTATCTGACAGGCAGGCTACACGCGCGGGCCGGGACTACTTTTTGTGCTTGCACTCACTGGCAGCGAGCGGGTGGTGTGTGCGCGTGTGTGTGTGTGTGCGTGTGACGACGCCGACGGTAAGTTACCAGGGCTGTCTCTCTGCCTGCCATATACAAAGGCCAAAGTAAAACATTTTAATATTCCATTTTTTGCCCCTTTTTGTACTTTGTAGATCAGCTATGTCACCCAAGAAGAAGAAAGGGGACATTCGAAGCTTTTTCATAAAGCAGAGTGTAAGTAGGCAAAAATAACTAGCCACACAAATAACTAGCAGTAGTAGTGACTGACCAGGCTTTCAAATGCAGATTCTACTGTGGAAAATAGTATAAACTGGTGATTCTGGTTACCCAGGATATTGTTACAGTTAACTTAAACCTAGCTTCTGCAATCTTTCAAGGTTAGGAGCATTAATTAGGGGTGTGCAGCACGGATAGACTCATAAGTCGCGCTATCATGATAGAATGCTACGTTAGCAAGTCACTGAATGTTAATTAGCCTACCTTAACTTAGAATCTTGCAGTCATAAACAGTGGATCATCTGAGACATTTTTCATTTCTACATTCTGTTTATGTAATGTATGAGTGTAGCCTACTTGCTAGACACATGTGCTGGAAAAACATGTTGGCAATGTTAAAAAGGCAAAAGTTAACACTGTTGGTTATTCAAATATAATGAATCATTATTTGATTGATAATATAATTCCAAATAATAATAATTTATGTTAAATAAAATGTTTGGTTGTTCAGCATTACACAGTCTCAGGTTTTTATTTTTTGAGAGTGCATTTTTGAGATTATACAGTATACTAGCTCTTTATTGACAGTATACAGGATGGTGTATCGGTGTCAGGATACAATATAATGAGATGAAGTAGATTCACTTCTGTATTGTGATCTTCTGTATTGCCAGCAGTCTGAAATGACAAAGGAAATAATCCCCACCAAAGCTGAGACAAAACCTACGCCCATGGTTAATTCAAATGTGGCATAAGAACATCCTTCCCTACGAGGTGGACTTTTCTTCTAATACCTATTATTCTTGTTTTATGTCACTAAACTAAAGAAGTTCAAAATTCTGAGAATACAAAAGAGCAGAGAAGACATCCTGATGAAACCTCTCATGGGGTCAGTGACACCTGCAAAGGTTTCTGGTCACTGACCTATCAGAACTCATGTTGCCTCACTGTAGATAAATTATAGAAATGTTGCCTATATTGCCTACTTGGGAATCTTCATTCCATGAAAGTGTGGTTACTGCTTGTGTCTTAATTTATCTCCACTTCAATCTCACAATGTATGTTTCACTTCAACATTTGGCTGTAACCTGACTCAAATGTACCTGGAACACTGCAGAAACGGCAGTGTTTTATTTCCTCCTTTTAGTCAATAATAGGCTGAATAATAACATTAGCAAGCTTTTAATAGGAACTTTAGAGTGGTTTTGCATTGCTTCTGTATTTGCATCAAAAAATTAAATGCCAGTTACAGTAGAATTGCAGACTTCCAATATCATTAACAGCTAGGGCTCCGAAACGCTTTACAAAATTGTTAACGCTACAATGAAACATTATTGAGATGTAATCATGATATTTTGCATGCATGTCTTTCTTGAGAAACTCAATTAGCAACTTAAAAATGTAATCTGTATAGATACTATGCTGTGCAAGTTTTATGAATGGTCTGGCTGTTTTAAATATAGGTGATTCAGGGAAGTTTTACTTAACTTCTGCATTTAACTTGTCTGGGAAATTTTCTTACTGTTTTATAGAGTCACGGCGGCCTACAGCAGCTCTGTCTGTGATGGTTTAGACAGTTGCAGAGTATTTTAGGAAGTGACGCCACCGCCCACCATCAGGAAATGGACTGTTTCTTTTAGTAGATGTAAGTCATGGGCTGAAGGCAAATCGGTCATGCACCACAGTCAAATACGAAACGTATTTTGATCAGAAGGTATAGACAGAGAACGTGGGTAAGTGGAAAGCCGCCGTGGGAAGGTGCAACCACTGTACGGTCCCTGAAACAAGGCACTGTTATAATTACAACCCTGCAGTCTTATCACAAGAAGCAAGGTAAGTCATTTTTAAATCAAGATCTCATTTTATTGACATTAAAATGTTACGCCGGAACAAATAACCTAAAGACTAAACTAAGAAGAAATCAAATAGTAGTTTTGAACTAATTTTTTTTTTTTTTTGAATGGGTTATTTGAATAGATTGTCATCAGAAGGTTTCTTAATATCTTGTTTGAAAATGTTAAAGATGACATGTAAGCAGTTTTGATGCAAAATAATAGTTTTGGTGAAAGCAATAAGGAAGTTGAATAATAAATCTTCCTGTAGTTGTGCTGTAACATTAAATGTTAAAGCAATCAGCTTTGTGGGGGGAAAATATAAATATATAAAGTTATATAATCACATTTCCTTTTCTGCATATTTCTATTTGAAGTGTGTGCTCTAACCCAATGCAAAGTCGACTGTATTCAGAGCAGTGCTGTACAGTAACTAATGACGTGGAAAGCCTAAGTGAATTGATCTCAGATTATATTACAAGCAAGACAGACACACAGATATGTCGATAGTTTCACATTTTTATACTATTTGTTGATCATTTGATTGCCTGCAGGGGTGTAACGGTTCACAAAATTCATGGTTCGATACGATACACTTGTGTCACGGTTCGGTTCGGTACGTTTTCAATACAGCAAAAAGAAAGAAATGCCAGAGAAATTTCCTTGATTTAATTTTTTTAATTATATTTTTATTAAAACTAACATCATAAAGTATGATTTTTTTTTTTACTTTGAGCAATGATGGAGCTATACTTGACTTTTCTTAGGAGCATTTAAAACAAAACAGCTCCTTGGACAAAATGAAATGTAATATTGTAGTAGTTATAAACAAAGGTTTATTTTAGTTCAGATTAACATTTGAGGGCAGCAATTGTATTCATAATGCCAAAATAAAACTGATGTAAATGTTACTTGAAAGCATTGTATCCTATTCCTGCCAAACTTCCATGGTTACAGTTACTGCTAGTAGTGTTAGTAAATCCATGGTGAATGTTGCAGATCTGTGGACAGACTGGACACTGGATAGTTCATTCATGGCACAATGTTTCTTCCTGGTTTCCACGTCAGCGCCGTTTGAGCCGTTAATAATGGAGAAATGCGAATGTTTCTCACTTGATCTCGCAGCGATGTTGTGGCGAATTCAAATGCTTTCTTTACTGGATTTGGCTGTGCAGTGACAGTGCTGCTTGATTAAGATCGGCTCGCGCTGCATTGGTCCAAACTGATAAACGGTCCGTCAACCACACAATAACTAGTAGCTCAGTTTCGTTCCGCTTACATTACATTTGCCATTTGATGTATGGGCAATGTTGTGGTCACGCCAGCGTCCCTTACATCAGGGACTTTAAGCAACAGCTGCTGATTGAACGGCAACGGCAGCCGGAAGTAGCTAAACGGTTAGCAACTGCCGTGGCTAAAGAGCGCAAAAATCAGCAACAGTAAAGAGGACGGCATAGGGGATAATTTAATCATCAGACAAAATACAAAAAATAAACTGATTTAAAAAAGTAAGAGAAGGGTTGATTTGGGCATTTAATGATATACAGAAACGATTATAATGCCACATAACCTAAAACATAACATTAACTTTCTTAATCTGTCACGTAGTATCGACTACGGCAAATCAGCTGTTCTCCCGTTGTAGACGGTTACTTACAGTAGAACGTCGCGAAGTAGCAGTTAATGTCGCGCATGCGCAATAGAACGACAGAATGCCGTTGCCGTTCCACCAGAGGCTGTTGCTTAAAGTCCCTATTATGAGCGCGCTTGCCACGCGCCTACATTTGAAATAACGAAATTTTGGTCGGCAGGTTCGGTTTAAAAATGCGTACCGAAAACCGAACCGAAAGCCTCGTACCGAACGGTTCAATACGAATACGCGTATCGTTACACCCCTGGGTCATAGTGGATGGTCCTTCTTACTTTCCTGTAATTTATAGAATTCCACTGGGAAATTCTGCATCCATATTCATATCATGTCTTTTAAATTTCACATTAATTTCTACACAGACACCTTGTCAGAGTTATTTCTAGAGCATTTTTAGGAGACAAAAGATGACTAATTTCAATGTTGATGTAATTTTGGTTGACCAAACCAACTTATTTCGTAATCATCATGACAAAAAGTGTCTGGCTTAACAATGTTGCCTCTGCAACATGCCAGGAGTTCAGTTCATTAATAAGCAAATAAACCAGTTGTTTGGAGTGTGCTTTGTTTCACTTGTAACTTATTATATTTAAGCATTTAAAAAAATGAAACAGTTTTGGTGACATACCACTGGTTTAGATTTGAATGCAAACCTAGTTCATTGAAATGAAACAGTTTTAAATGAGTTCCTTTCACATTTATTTGTAGTTGATTAACCATTAAATTGTTTTAAATTATGAAGAATTCTTTAGAATTGATCTTTTATTAAAATTAAAAGCATTTATGTGCATTTATTATCCATTGTTTTGCAGAAACCTGGATACTCCACGATGTGTGAGGTGTTAGTTGTTCATACCAGTGAGGCCAGCGAATGGGCCGAGTATCTACAGCAAATCTTGGCCACATCATGTAACTTTCTGGAGGGCTCCGTCATTCTGTACGATGTTAATGAACAGATTTGCCTGAAAAATGATGAGTTGTTTGGCTCCAGCAAGTGTATCATGCTTTTGCTGTCTACTGCGTTCTTGGACATGCAGCATGACCCAGACTTGCAGGACACTTTCCGGGATCTTCTTCAGCCTCCTCACAAAGTTGTCGCTTTTTTGTGTGGTGTATCAGAAAGGCAAGTGTCAGCAGATTATTTTGAACACTGGGAACATTGGAGAAAGCTCAACTCAGAAGATGAACCATCAGTATATGTGTCTACTGTCCTTCAGTGCATAGATGATGGTATGTATTTTTTATACTATAAGTCTCATTCAGCATAAGAACATATTAATACTTGCACTTTTGTTCATCTACAACAACAACAATACAAAGATGGCCTAAAAAGATTTTTATATTTGAACATTAACATAACTGCAAAATTAGTGCACATTCATATAATTTTAAGGATTATGTGTTGTATTCAACTGTAATTTTTAAATATTATATTTATATTTGTGTATTTACATATGATTTATTTATATTTTAATAACTTTATTTTTTTCTAATAAATGTATATTTTAAGATGATCCACCATGCAAAATCTTACTTAACATAGAGAGGTTGGCGTAAATTAACGTTTACTCCATGGTCAGTATGGAACCTTGTTTCCGCCACAGAATAAAATATAGAAAATGTATTTGTGACTTTTTATCTCAAACTTAGGACTAAATCACAATTTCAAATGGTAGAAGTCATAATTGTAAGATAAAAAAATTAAAATTAACTTTTTTTTTATTCCGTTGCAGAAACAAGCTTCCATAGGCCTGTGGTTTATATTATTTTTAATTTTATCCATAAATATTTTTGCATGGTGGTTCATAATTAATCTTACTAAACAGAAAGAGGTTGAACTGAAGTAAAGTTGAATATATCATTTTTCTTTTTAGAATCCGTTAGTGAACATCATTGCCAGAATACATATGAAATTGAACTTGAAGAACGCATGGATGAGTTCACAATATCTGAAATTCCTGACACCTTAACTTTACCCGATGAGAATGAACATCATCAGATGAACGGGAATGATCTTTGTCCCACTGAGCAGACTTGTTCAAATGCAGCTGAGCCACAAGACGACCAAATCTGCCTCACCGCCCAACCGGACGACCAAATCTGCCTCACCGTCCAACCGGACAGAATACCATGTGGGGTAAGTGCACGGCACGTGACGCATGCAGAGCCTAAATATGAACCTTTTCTAAGAATATTTAGTTGTTAATGTCAGCATGAAGCTCACATGGTTTGAGATCACACTTTTTTTGTGTGTTTTTCCGTTCTGTATGGGCCCCTATCTAAGAAGCTTGATTTAGATTATTTTAGGCATTTTTAGTTCAGTGACATGATGAAATAAGTATGATGTAGGAGTCATGAGGGATATGACTAAAACAATTGCTGCCAATGCTGTTCTTTTTAACTTGTATATTATTTTCCAGTGAATGAAGTGGTCTTCTTTTGAAGCCTACAAAGTTGTATCCTGCCCGTAAGGTGTTTTTACTAAACACTTAAATACTCCGTTCAGTAATTTTCTACTTTTAAATCAATCAATTTGATTATGTGAGAACATAATGACTCAAATTATGCCTAATTTAATTTAATGGCTGAAGAGACATTTTATACAGTATATGCCTCATGGTGTGGACATTTCAACATTTTAGTGTATTTATGGCTTGACTGTCAGTGTTGTTCATATTTTTAAAACTCTTTTGACCCACTATCCTCTACATTGTAAACTATTGTTACTTTTGAAATCCGTTTACATCGTTAAAAACTATAGTTTCAGCATTTCATTCAAAAGCATTTGCTGACATTTGCTGAATCAACACCAATCATCAGCTAGCGTTACTCAATGTCATTTACAGTATTTAACATGGTGTCATGACTTTCTCACCATTTGTTTGTTCCCATAAAGAATCGTGTGAATATTTATATAATCATGGCAAAGAAATTTGTGGATGAGGGCAGCCTGGAGGTGGAGTTTCACTCTCAGCACTCAACACCGCAGCGAATGCCTGGGACTCTTGTAAACGAGTGTATTGTTACTGTACAGTCACCTGGTAAGACAAAAACGCAGAAAGAGGAACTTTTCATTTCAGTTCCTCTATGCTTTTTCACTTTCAAATGAATTTGCATATTGTTTCCTGTTAATGTGCTCATTTATTATAAGAAAAGCTTTGTCTTTGAGGCTTTGTCAAAAGTTGTTTTCTTAGCTATTTTTTTTTTCTCTTAGAAATGCCTTCTGGGAAAGTCTCATTGACTCTTTATAATAATGAGTCTGTGGTCTATTCAACAACAGTAACATATTTCACAGAAATGGAGGAAATCTGCAGGTATCTAGAGAAAGCAATGGATCCAATGCAGTTCATGTGTCAGGTAATGAAATCGGTTAAAACAGAAAAAAGCTTCATACCAATAAAAGAGATCACGTACACTGAAATGACTTGTGAATGAACGTGATAACGGAGTTAAGTCATGTCATGGTTATTTCTTTAGTGCTTTTCACAATATGTGTCATTTCAAAGTAGCGTCATAGAAATGCACATCTCATATGTGACCCTGGATCACAAAATCAGTCACAAGTAGCACGGGTAAATCTGTGGCAATAGCCAACAATACATTGTATGGGTCAAAATTATCGATTTTTCTTTTATGCCAGAAATCATTTGGATATTAAGTAAAGATCATGTTCCATGAAGATATTTTGTACATTTCCTACCGTAAATATATAAAATATTTATTTTTGTGAGTGAATGCAGCACAATCGTGGACATTAATGGACAACTTTAAAGGCGATTTTCTCAATGTTTCGATTTTTTTGCAACCTCAGATTCCAGATTTTCAAATAGTTGTATCTCGGGCAAATATTGTCCTATCCTAACAAACCATACATCAATCGAACGTTTATTTCTTCAGCTTTCATATGATGTATACATCTCAATTCCAAAAAAATTACCCTTGTGACTGGTTTTGTGGTCCAGGGTCACATATATGATCATATATAAAAAGGATAAACTACAGAGAAAAGCGCTATACCAATAAACATGACTTCACTTGATATTTTTAATTCCTTTAGGATACATTATGGTATTGTGAAAAATGTAATATCTCATAATTATTTAATATTATAATATATTATTTAATATAAGATATATTAAAATATGCAGTCATTTAAAAAATGTCAAATATCTGTGACAGTGTTTCAGCCCCACAAGTGGCCTGATATCGTACAGATGCCTGAATAGCAGCCCACAAGCCTGAAATCCGTAATGCAAGATGCTTTATGTAATTTGTTGATTAATCGATAACAATAAGAAACAAAAAGTCCATTATAGACATTTTAGTTTGTGTGAGGCAACAGGAGCTGTAAACTTTTCAGATACACATAAACATTTTATTATCATTCACAAATTACAAACAAGCAGACTACAATGTTCGCCTTTTTAAAAAGTTTACTTACAGGAAAGGACATTTCAATTAAAGACAAATATTGAGCTGAGTTTTTTCGAATTCAATTTTCAGGCATTTGATATCACATCAAAGGTGCCCGAGTCATTGGATCATTTGCTCGCAGACTCTCTGGAAGAACATTTGCCTCTAAATGGATTACAAGTATTTGGAATTAGTCAGATTGCAGATAACACAGAAGCAAGTACGTGGTTTTATATATATATATATAGTTTCTAAAAAGTATAGATTATCATTAATATCTTTTATGGTGGTAGATTACTTAACACCAAGTAGTGTAGTGTTTTTCAAAGACAGGAAACATTAACATTCTATTGAACAACAATAAGAAGAGATCTCTTTGTTTTCAGATAACCGTAATGTGGAACTCCCAACACTGCTTCACTTCTCGGCCAAATATGGCTTAACAAAATTAACGTCCTTGTTAATGCGGTGCCCCGGAGCCTTGCAGGCCTACAGTGTGATGAACAAAGATGGAGATTACCCTAACAATCTGGCCGAGAAGAGTGGCTTCTCTGATTTAAGACGCTTCATGGATGAATATGTTGTGAGTTCATTGCGTAAATATTCTTGATGACTTTTGTAACTGGCTACAAAGTGTAGTAAACAGAGCCAGCCATCATTTCCTGAAATGCTGTGGGCACACGGATTTATTAATGCACGTGTATACCTAAATATCATTGCATTGTAAAAGTGATATGGGCAATTTCATTGCACAGAACATTGGTAATGGAAATGCAATGATGTAATTATGTTATTTAGGCTATGTTAATGATCAGCATACATTTGTACAGCAGTATTGCCTTCATTTCAAAATAGCAGTGACGATGCTAATTATTTATGTAAACTTTCTTTCTTTCTTAAAACCCAACAGGAGACAGTAGATATAGTGAAGACCCACATGGAGGAATCTCAGAACAACCCTGACAATGAGGATATCTATGAGGATATGTTGACAGCTTCCCAAAATTTCATCACAAATTTCGATAATGAGGATATTTACGAGTCTATGATAAAACTGAAACCTGAGATGGGTTTGTATATGGCATTTTCTCAGTGTATTTTTTCTTACAAAAAACGGTCGTTATTACTGAATAAAGTTGAAGCATTTCTATTGCTTTTTAGAGGTATATTTTTTACTAGGGCTATCTTATAAATATATGAGAATGAAGTTACAATTGTACGCATTTAAAGATTAAAAGTGTTTTATTGGCCTATTTCTAGATGTTGAAGATATGTACTGTAAAATATGTATACAAAATTTCTGTTTCTACAGATGATGATTTGGAAGGTGCTTTGGAGGACTCCAACGCGGAGACAATGCTGAGAAAGTTTTTTGAAGGTACATCAATGAGAAACGACACAGAAAATAACAGTTATTTGTGTTACTATGACTTTTTGTCACTTTTCCCCCATGTGATAACAACACCCTTCAGCTATCTGTCTTTATGCATTTATGCCAAAGCTGTCTTTACCTTAATTTAAGTGTACAGCATTTCTGTAAAAGTTTACAAAATTGTCCTCATATTTGTAATGCAAAACAATGCCATCTTATCTTATTCTGCTAGTATAAGTATTTGAACCTGCGATCTCTGCTACAGGATGTAGCATGTTTGCATACTGTGAAAACGGAGCAGCTTGCTAATTAATATATGACGTTTAGAAAAATGTAAGCTAGTATACAAGCATTGTATATTTTGCAGTTGTCAAATAATATGAATCCTTGGTTTTTGTTTAGCAGAACCTGACAAGCATTCACAATCCTTGCAACATAATTCAACCAATGGTGGATTCCCTGAAATGGATGATGAGGATTATCATGACATGGGCAATAATGTGGAAATCTATGGTGATGTAGAAGAGGAGGACCCGTATAACCCGTGCTACCCTGATCAAATTTATGATACGGTGGAGGAACATTCCAACCCTGAAGTGATCAATCGCCCACCTGCACCGATTCCCCGGCCAGCCAACCTGCCAGAGCCTGAAGAGAACACAACCTACATTTCCAAAGGTGCGAACCAAAGTTTCATTACGGTTATGAACATTCTTCAAAACCTCTTCTTTTGTGTTGTTCAGCTGAAGAAACAAATGCATATGGGTTTAGAATGCATGAGGATGAATAAATGATGACACAATTTTCATTTTTGGGTGAACTATGCCTTAATTGCAAATCTTAACAGTCAGTTTAATTTGACCTGTTTTACAGTGTTTTGCCTCAAGGAACCTGTATACTCAGTCAGTCAAAGGCCAGAAAGGGATTCCTCTCTAGGTACCGAGTGACAGTGTCTTTCTTGAGCCTAATTGCGAATCTTTGGTGTATATGAACAGATAATGAATGCATTAAATTGAAAGTATTTCCTTGCTGGATGATCTATTCTTACAGCACCTGTACGGCTGGTGGGAGACAGCGACATGATCAGTCACCATGACCCCTTTGCAGGCATGAAGACCCCTGGACAGAGGCAGCTCATCTCTCTGCAGGAGAGGGTGAAGGTGGGAGAGCTGACTGTGGAAGAGGCAGTGCAGGAGTTCAAGGCTTGGCAGTTTGATCAAGATAAAAGATGGCGCTCTCTCCGCTTTCAGCAGGTAACAAGTAACTCCATGATAATTGTCAAAACAGAAGGTTAACAAATGAAATGAGTGTCTGAGGTTTCTGTAACCATCTCTCCATTTACTTCTAGGAAAACTTACAAAAATTAAGAGACAGCATCACACGACGCTGTAAAGGCAAAGGGCCAACCGGTAATTCCACAATATACTTCTAAGTGGTTAACATGCCGTGCTATTAAAGTGTACAAGAAAAGTTATAATAAAACTCGTAGGACTCAACGAAAAATAATAAACCAATGGTCTGTGGAAAGTGCGAAAGAGTTTCAGGTCCCATCAGTCCATTGTTGTATGAAAATTATGAATTTATAACTGTCATGAAGTTACTTAACTGTATAGTTTCCACATATTTGTGCAAATAATAATGCAAAAGAAAGTTATTTTTGTGTTTTTTAACAAATACACGAACAAATATACTTTAAAAATAATATATTTTTGTTTCTGGCACATAAAAAAGAATACATTTATGGTGGGACCATTTAAAATGAATGTTACATTTTGTGACATTTAGCAAGAATTTAGCATGTACCGGTAACTAAACTTTTTTTTTTCTCCCCCCCCCCCCTATTAGATCTTATGATTACTGCGCCGATGCAAACAAACGTTCAGTGGGGTTCTCAAATGAACGTGAATTGCTCCGTGTACGAACCCACACCTCATTCGATTGCCCAACCCCCTCCTGTTAGTAGACCGCTGCAGAGAGGAAGCTGGCAGACAGGAAGCACCTCCAGCACTTCTAGTATGTTAAAGAAAATTACTTCTTTAATCTCATGCAATAACATGCCTTGGAGTGTGATACCATGGGACATTAATGTCAGTACCATCGTATATATGAATTTTATTGCATTACCATCTCAGACATTCATTTTACTATGAAACTTCCAAAGGATGTTTTGGGGAATGTTAGCAAATGAGGTCTTCTTTTTGGGGTGATCCCACACAAATGTACACTTGAACTGATGAAGTCACTGAACTATGTTTACAAGTATGGTTGGGTTTCAACAATGAAATTGTAAAGGTTTGACTTGTGCAGGTAGTAGCAGTCACAGATTGAGCATTCAGAGCACCGTTAGCAACAGCAGTGGGATGGACGGTGAATGTGAGGTCAGTTTTTTCCTTTAATCGTTTTTTTATTTATTTGGGTTATAATGATCATTATCGGCTCCATCCTGTCATTAACAACACTTGTTCTGAATCAGAGTCCTATAATGTATACAAATTTGGGATTATTAAGATTCTTGTTTTAAAGAAATTAATACTTTTATCTGCAAGGATTAATTAAATTGATCAAAAGTGGCAGCAACGACATTTGTAATGCTACTAAATATTTATATTTCAAATAAATGCTGTTCTTTAGAACTTTCTATTCATCAAAGAACCCTGAAAAAAGTCACACGGTTTCTACAAAAACATTAAGCAGGACGTGTTTTCAACATTGATTATAATAAGAAATGTTTCTTGAGCACCAAAATCAGAATATTAGAATGCATTCTAATTTGACACTGAAGACTGGAGTAATGGCTTCTGAAATAAATAAAAATTTTAAATATATTAAAATAGAAAACTATTTTAAACTGTATTGATATTACTAACTATTTAACTGTATTTTTGATCCAATAAATGCAGACTTGGTGAGCATAAGAGACTTCTTTCAAAAACAGACCCCAAAGATTTGAATTTTAATGTATGGTTGTAACGTTAAAATGAACTGGTTTAAAATTGAAAAAAGTGTTTAGATTGTGTCATAGTAGAGACTAGTAGAGTATGTGTCATAGTAGAGATTTTGCACCAGAATATTTTATTTTTAAGGCAAATAATAAAACCATGTAAGGAATTATTACACCTTGATTTTTTAATGTTCATATGTCTTTACTTTCATGGTCCAGGAGCCTCCAGACATTCCGCTTCCTCCACGGCCTCTCCGGCCTACAGTGAACACTCCACCAGTACTCCCTCCACCCCGGGTCCCGCCACGTGTAACGGAGAGGTACGTGTATAAAATACCAGTTAAAACCAACTGCGTTGAAATCTTTATTTTGATGGTCCCTTTTGAACATTCTGTTGACTAGAAGTAACTTTGCAACTACATGTCAACTTATTCTAACCCTACCAGTCTTCTAATACTCTACTAATACTCTAATGAGAGTTAGTAGACATGTAGGTGCAACGTTACTTATGGTCAACAGAATGTGGGCCACCAAAAAAAACCCGCAAAGATGGATATGGTTTCTGTCATAGCTCTATTGCGAAATACATTTCTAACTCTAAATAAAAAATATATTTTAACACAGAGTTATTTTACACAGCGAGATTAGAAGGTGTACAGAGAAAACATGTACATATTAGGTTTGTGGCTTCAGCTAGTTTTATTTTCGAAAAGTTTCACTGCAAGAATGTACCAGATGACTGGATAAAAGTTTGTAGATGAGGCAAAGATGGTTCATGTATGAAACTCTGCGCCTCCCCATGTGACAAACCACAGCATCAATCGCAAAACACTCTTAACCACAATGCCGGAGTTTGTGAAGCTTAACTTTCCATCAGTAACTTTATTGAACGTAGAAGTATGTATCAACCTTTAAATCTGGAGTGTGGGTTCAGAATGCACTACTTCTTCACCAGCTTATATACACAAACACCAACGCGTCAGAGAGGGGGTGAAGAACATCTGTCCTATGATGTGGGCTCCACATCCTCTTCTAATTCTCACCTAATGGGCACTATTTGAGAGAGATGTGCACCAACCCAACTCAAGAACAAGATTTGCATTTCTCTGGAATAAAATACCAGTGTTTGCAAATCAGCAAAGAATCATACAAAAACGTTTGCGCTTCAGTTTAGTGTAATTTCTTAATTTTAATGTAATTTCTGCTTAATTTCAGCACATAGTCATTGTGGCGTTAGAGGTGGCTTTAAATGGTGAAATATACAGTATACAGGAGTATGCAAGGAAGACAAAACCGATCACAATTCAGTATTCGAACGTTACAATGTTATTTCTGGCAGTTACATTTTGAATGCTAAACATTCTATCAGTGTAAGTCAATGGGAGCAAAATTTTTAATTTCAAATTTTTTAAAAAGTGAAAAACAAAAAGATAATTCTGTAATTGTTTTGTCTCTTAGGGTTCCAGAGATACTAAACGAGCGATACGTATCGAGTCCAACACGTCCTGTTCCTCAGACGCCTGCACAGAGGTCTATGCCACCTCCACCTATACCAAGACGAACATGGTGATGGCCTGCTTCAACATTGCTGGCTTTCGTTCTGTTTGACTGTGCACTTTTCTTGTTGAGCCTTTGAGATTTGTAAGTCTCTTCAAGATGGAGGAAAAGATACTGGCTGTGTCTGAAACAGAAGACATCTGCTTGGCTGTACTGTCAGTCAGTGATCTTACAGAGGTTCGAATGAAGGTGTCTCTTAAGGAAGCTGGTTTGCCATCTATATTATTTTTACTAACTGCCAAATCTGCACAGAATTGTGCAGCATATGCAGCAAAAATATATAAATGCTCAAAAACTATCCAATTAGCACACAGGATAATATGCAAACATCAGATTCAGAAGTCTTGAAGCTATCTTACCTTTCATATACTGCCTGTGAATACAGTATTTTTTTTAGGTTTCTGTTACAGCCAGTGATCAGTGATTTGAATTGATCTATTCTAGACTCAACTTGCAATGCAAACAATCACCTTCCTTTATAGGTTTTAAAAGATAAATCTTCAGCTGAAGATATGCAATATGTTTGAAGGGTCTTCTCATATGTCACTTGTTTGCAATTTAGCTATTTGGTTTGTACACTCTGAGTGCTGTTAGTTATAGCAAATAGCAAGCTCAAGAACGTGCCTACTTTTTAATTAGAACTTTTTTTCTGTTTAAAACTGCAATTAAGTGTAGCTTGTGTTGGCTGTGATCACTGTACATGAGATTTAAAGTAGCATATTTGTCTGTATTTTAAACATATTTATTCACTTTTCACAGCTGGTTACGATATATATATCACCCAAAGAAAAGCAGAGAAAATGGAAACGGTGTATTTAAGTGTGAAAGCACAGTGTGACAAGGGCATATATGGGTTTTGTGTGTGTGTGTGTGTTCATGTTTGTTTTGTCAACCATTACGAAAACTGATTAAAGTGCCAATGAAATCCCAAGTAGCGAGATATCTTTTCTTCCGTATTGTGTCATACATCTGAGTGTAAAGGGATATCGAAAAATAAAAAAATGTAGGTCTGGAGACTTTTGACTGGATTTTGCACTCAAAAGTGAAGGCAGAAGAGCGAGTGCTTGCATATGCTACTTATGCTTGCATATGCTTTCCATGAAAACTTCAACAGCAGTATGAATCTGCAGCGGTCATATGGTACAAGTTGGAGCTCTCCAAAAATTCAGTTTACAAGTTGTAATTACGAGTTCTACGAGGATGTGAAAGTTGGAAACTCATAATTACGGTAAACAACATAGTGTAAAAACACCTATAGGTGGTTTTGAAGATGATTGGGGAAGTCCTGCATATGCCACTCAAATGAAAATTCACTGGTAGGTAGGTCCAGTTATAATTGTTACGAGTAATTGTTAGTGGAGAATTGATTAACTTAAACTTTTTATAGATTGATAAAACAAACAAATAAATAAATGTTGATAGTCCTGTAGATCAGAGGTTCTCAATTCTGGCCGTCAAGTTCCACTTTCCTGCAGAGTTTAACTCCAACCCTAGTCAAACACACATGAAATTTGGGCCTTTCCAAATACCTGCATTTGCGGTGTTTGCACTTGACCACTTGTCTACTTGCATGACGTATTTCCTGTATTTGGCACAAGTGTTCAAATGGTTCAAGAAGGCGTGAAGACTGCAAGTGTGTGTAGAACTTTTATTTACCCGATGGGACACACCTATAGTGTTGCAAAAGAAAAAAAGCAAATGTGTTTAGTCTATTTTTTTTACAGTCTATGGTGTTTACAGAGCTTTTTTTCTTCTTCTTTCAAATGTTATACAAAACACACACAGCCTACTCATCTTTGCACCTATAAAATGACACTTTAACTATTTGTTTTACTATCAAATTCCATATAAAATCTAATTAATTTAACTTACAGTGGAAAGTTTTCCTCGCTATCTTGCTATTTCCCTAATGATGGGATACGCTTAGCCTCGAATACCGCTCCGACCCTTTTAGTGTGCGTTCAGGGCACTGCGCTTTGGCATTTTTTTTTAGACATGGGACAGTCTCACCCATAGATATCCATAATAAAGGCCTTTATTATGGATATCTATGGTCTCACCAGTCTCACGCACTTACTTCCTGTCGCGTGCACGCGCTTTTAAGTGGCCAAGACCGTAAGTGTTGGTATTTGGAAAGGCGCAAAGTTAAAGGGAGGAGAGTTATCCATAGACAGTAAAAGAAGTTATCGGGGTTGGAGCTAAACTCTGCAGGAAAGTGGACCTTGACTGCCAGAGTTGAGAACCTCTGCTGTATAGCTCCATATGCAAAGTTATATGTGTAAACATTGGCCTCTAGCGGATGTTTTTGGTAAGTTCACATATTACCTGCAGTGCATATTATAGCCTACCTGTACCTGCTGAGAATAAGTATTTAGTAGGGGTGTAACTATTCACTCGTTTTCTCGATGCATCGATTACAAATCCTGACGATGATTTCAGTCAATAATCGATTAAAAAAAAGCCATAAATAAACATTTATCAAATTATTGGAGACGTTGTTGGCGTTTTTCGCGCCTTCACAGCTCTCTCTTCACCGCGTTTTCTCACTGGATTGCGCTCGCGCTCTATCTGTAGCTCACATTTTTGAGTAGCCCTTGTTTGATATCTCATTGCGTGGAAACGTCATCGTTATTTTATATGAGAAAAAATATAAAACACTGAGGTTTACGTAAACTTTTTATATGTACATGTTTTATATGTTTACGGAAATGTCATCGTGCCTGAGCAGTTTAGTAAATCCCACGCGGTTTAACTGTTCATCATATGCATGAAACTTGTTCGTCTGTAGACACGTCACTCAGTGTTTATAAAATGTTCTGTATAAAGAGAACAAAGAGGGCTTTTCTTACTGGGAAAGTGCATGATATTCTAGGGTAGTCTATCCATGGAAGCATTGTATGTTTAATGCACATGGAACACTAATAACTAAAACAGACTAAGACACATTTAGGGGAAGCATTTAAATAATCCTATAAATGCACTTAAAAAAATGCAGAATCACATCGTTAATCGAATCGCATTGAATTTGATTGTGAATCGAGTCGAATTAGGAATCGAGTCGAATCTCTCTGAAACAAATCGAAAACCTATGAATCGTGAATCAAATCAATTTGCTGTCTACCCAAAGATTCTAGTATTTAGCCTACCTAATGCACATGAAACGCGTTTTATTTTTTGCTTTGATAATATGCTGAAAATTCCAGTCGCAGAATTATTTAATACCTACTCCAGTATAGTATTGCTACTTGGCTCATACCAGTAGGCTACGTGTTACTTTAACAATGCCTGTTTCTCACAAAATAATATATAAATGTTATTTATTTGGAATATGGTTATATATTAAACTTAAGTATGACCCTTTTACTTTAAAATGAATCTATATTTTCTGTCAATTCGTTTTTTTATTTTTAGCTCCTCTATATGTGGTTCTCAACAAGGGGGTCGACGTACCGCTAGGGGGCCTCAGCAAACTTCCAAGGTTTGGCTTAGAATTATTTAAAATAAGTTATATTAAAATAATATAACTTAATTAAAGCTAGACTAATATAATTTGTTGTTGCAATTTAAATGAGGAAATAATTAATGGAATGTCATATGTTTTATTTAAATGTATTATTATTCATTCAAATGTGGACTGCAAATGCACTTTTATTAAATTAGAATATGAGTTTTATGAAACGTCTGTGGCTCCACGGAACGCCCCCCACCCCCCCCCACCCCCCCCCTCTCTCTCCCTCCGCCCACTTCATTGATATTGTGATGAGAGCGTGAGAGGCTCGACGCACGAGCGAGCGCGTGCGGTGACCGTCACTGAATTGTGCAGCGTGCAGCAGCCTTATCAATACGGAAAACTGGACTGCTTACTCAGAAAGGTGAGTATTACACAACGCATACTACATTCTCCGTCATATCCACATAATTTGAATACCTCAGTGATATTTCACATCAAACTAAAACGTAAAGTTTACGTGTTTACTTCGTTTGGAGGCTATTATTTGGCTTAGGGTTTATTACAATAAACCGCAGCGGCCATCCATTGCAGACAAATGTGCAGTGCAGAAGTGCGGCAACGTGGGTTTGTGTTTTAGTTACTTCAGCACTATTGATATTATATAGCCTAGTGTTAAATTTATGGCTATATTGTAAAGGGTGGAACTATAAATTGCATTCTTATTGAAGAGCTCAGGCGTTTATAAGATGTCAGATGAAGGAGACGGGATGGAGGTAATTTGTATTCCGCAGGAAAAGAGCCCTCCTGACTTCGACTACACTTGACATCCAAATAAGGAATAGGATTGACTGGATATGCGGAGGGAGCAGGACAGTGAAACCAGACTTCACGAGTTCAATCCACTGCATTGTAGATAGCTTGAAAAATTAAACGGGACACATAAGACAGTTTATCCATATTTTAGTCCCAGAGTGCAATAATATAACAGCCTGTATTTACGAAGATGAATGTTAGGATGAGTTGTTCTAATGCAGTGCGGTTTATGCGGCAGGCGTATATTTGAACTATGAAAAAGTGCCTTTTGTATATTTAAGTCTTTAAGTATATCAAAATAATATTTGATGCAATTTCTAAAGACTTTAGAACACAGTAAGGTAGCCTACTGCTTTAACTTTTTTTTCCTCAGGTAAGTTATAGGACATAGCAGCAAGTATAGTGATTTCATATGCTTATGATTGTAGCAAATGTGTTTGCTGCAGTTCAAATAATACAATGATGCATTAATGCATTTAGAGTTTTATTTTATGAAAGGTGGCAAAAGGCAAAGTGGCTTGGCAAACCATGCATGTTATTCAGCCTAAGATGTTTTTTGGAACTTGTCTAAGGTGGACTACCACCTCTAACTGGCTTTATCAAGGTCTGCAGGTCAACCTCGATCTCACCAGCTGGTAGTCATCATCTCTAGGCCATAAATGACAAGGGCTGTGTTTCTCAAAAAAGCAAGCCTAAGTAGATCGTAAAACCATGGTACCAATATTCTATCACCTTAGGTCACGATACTTTTAAGAAATGCAGCCCAGCTTCGTCCAGCTTTAAAACAGACAGTTTTTCAGTAATATATTTGTTGGTAACTGACCTTCCAAATAGCATTTTAAAAATCCCAGTAAAAGTATAATCAAGTTGATTTCTATTCTTTATGCAGGCTTATGTTTAAGAAGAGCATTCTCAGTTCTCAGTTGTTCAATTGTGACATTATTTTGTCCCAAATTTGCTTATGTAACTAACCCTAACTTGCCATAATTAACCGTGCACC